ACTGGCTTTGAAGTGTGGTCCTCAGCTCTGAGTCTCTTGAGTAGCTAGGATTACAGTAGTGAGCCGCCATGCCCAGCCTGGGAAACAGTTTTGGAAGGTTCTGTATGTGCATGTACTGTATGTAATATATCAGAACACTTTTGCTTAGGGTGTTAGGTGCAGGGTAGCTGCGTATAACAGCCGAGGCTCAGCGGCTTCGCCATCTTCGCTGAGCGGGTGCCAGGATAGCAAATCCCTATGGCTTCAGTGCTACCCACTACCCTACACTTCAGCTCTCTTGCATCAGATGGCATGTTTCTTTGTAGCATCCTCCAGTAGGCAGCTTTTTATCTCATTTCTGCGTTAGCCACCTACTTTGAGGAGTTTGCAGACACCTGCATATTTCTGTAGGCTGAAAGGCAACTTTAGGTAGGCTTACCTGTCATATTTCTGTGAATATCCAGGCTGTATTCCTCCTGACAGAGGGGTCCCTCCTCGCCTGGCTTTTTCCAAGCTGCCAGCAGAATGGTGATCTCCCATTCCTGCAGAAATGCAAAGGTCTGAAAGCACCTCTTGGTGATGGGCTGCTTCCCATAGCCCACAAGGGGGCGCTCCTGTGAAATGTAACATCACTCAGTAAAGATCATAATATACGAGCCTAAAGAGATTTGCTTAATATCGGGGAACATTTTTTTTTTTTGGGTCCGGTCGTGGGTCCTGAACTCTGGGCTTGGGCGCTGTCCCTCAGCTCTTCAGCTCAAGGCTAGCGCTCTACCACTCGAGCCACAGCTCTACTTCCGGCTTTCTTTTTGCTTATGTGGTGCTGAGGAATCGAACCCAGGGCTTCGTGCATGCAAGGCAAGCGCTCTACCACTGAGCCACCTTCCCAGCCCTCGGGGAACATTTTGTTAGTCATTTTCTGGGTTTTAAGTTCTAGTTTTAAAGTCCTTTAAGTATGCTGTAGTGTTATTTGTAGAAAAATGTATGGTTGGCATAGTATTCCCCTAAATCCAGAAAAACCGGTCAATGTGATAACTGGGCCTCAGGGTCATTCCTGAGGCAGCAGGTCAAGTGCAGTTGACTTCCGCCTGCGAAGGGCTCTGAAACCTAGCAAGGTCTAGTTTATCTCAGAATAACTGAATAAAGCCATAGTGATGACCCAAGTGCCAACTCAGAATTTAGATGGCCAATCGGGGGCAGGTTTAAACTTTACAGGCATCAAAGCCATCCCCTATAAAGGAGGCCAATTTGAACTGATTGTGAAAATTTATGAATCTGGACATTTAGTGTCCAGCACAGGCTCTGATCCTGTGTGTGGATTGATCATTGTTTTGATTATTACTGTAGCCCTGTAGTCCAGGTACTCAGTAGACGATTGGTAAGTGAATTTGGTGGTGTTGGTTGCTCATACCCATAATCCTAGCTACTCCATTCGCAGAATCTCAGGGGTTTTTTTTTGCTGGTCTTGGGGCTTGAACTCAAGGCCTGGGCACTGTCCCTGAACTTCTTTTGCTTAAGGCTAGGGCTCTACCACTTGAGCCACAGCCCCACAACAGCTTTTCCTGTGATTAATTAGAGATGAGGTGGGCTGGGATTAATGGTAGGTGCTTGCCTAGCATACATGAAGCCCTGGGTTCGATTCTTTAGTACCACATAAACATGGCATTGTAGCTCAAGTGGTAGAGTGCTAGCCTTGAGCTGAAGAGCTCAGGGAGAATGGCCAGGCCCAGTGTTCAAGCACCATGACTGGGGGGAAAAAAATTAGAGATGAGTTCCATGGGCTTTCCTGCCAAGGCTGGCTTTCAACCTCAGTCCTCAGATCTTAGCCTCCTGTAGGTAGGACTACAGGTGTGAGCCATCAACACCTGGCTTTTTTTTTTTTTTGGGTCTGGTCATGGGGCCTGAACTCTGGGCCTGGGCGCTGTCCCTCAGCTCTTCAGCTCAAGGCTAGTGCTCTACCACTTGAGCCACAGTGCCACTTCCAGCTTTTTTCTTTTTGCTTATGTGGTGCTGAGGAATCGAACCCAGGGCCTCATGCATGCAAAACAAGCACTCTACCACCTTCCCAGCCCAACACCTGGCATTCTTTTTGCTAGTCATGGAGCTTGAACTCCGGACCCTAAGCACTGTCCCTGAGCTTTTGCTCAAGGCTAGCACTCTTACCACTTGAGCCACAACACCACTTCTGGCTTTTTCTGTGTATGTGGTACTGAGGAATTGAACCCAGGGCTTCATGCATGCTAGGCAAGCACTCTACCATTAAGCTACATTCCTATTCCCCTGGCTTTTTTTTTTTTTCTTGGTCATGGGGCTTGAACTCTGAGCTGGAGCGCCGTCCCTGAGCTCCTAACTTCAAGGCAAGCACTGTACCACTTGAGCCACAGTGCCACTTCCAGTTTTTTGAGTGTTTAATTGGAGATAAGAGTCTCATGAACTTTTCCTGCCCAGGCTGGCTTTGAACCTCAATTCTCAGATCTCAGCCTCCTGAGTAGCTAGGATGACAGGTGTGAGCCACTGGCGCCTGGCCTGGCTTTCTTTTAACTATTTTCTTTGTTGTTGTTGTTTCTGGGGGTCCAATCCAGTATGTTGCACTTGCTAAGTATGCACTCTGCCACTGAGCTACATGCTAGCCCCTTGGGAATCTCAGTTTGAAGTCAGTGGAGGCAGACAAATCAGAGAAACTCTTATTCCCAATAACCACCAAAAAGCTGAAAGTGAATGTGTGGCTCAAATAGTAGGATGCCAGCCATTAAGGAAAAGTTAAGGAAGAGCCTTTTGTGCTACTGTACTGGCAGAAAAACTAAGAAATGGGAGTTCAAGTTCTGGTTTGGTAGCCCAGTACTAAACCAGAGAATGGAGAATGCAGATGAGGAAATTATTAAGACTGAACCAGGAGTAAGTGAAATCTCAAAAAATTAATACTCAGATGCTGATGCCTGGCGCTGGTGGCTCACGCCTGTCATCCTAGCTACTCAGAAGGCTGAGATCTGAGGAGCATGGTTCAAAGCCAGCCCGGGCAGGAAAGTCCGTGAGACATCTCCAGTAAACCACCAGAAAGCCGGAAGTGGTGCTGCAGCTCAAGTGGTAGAGCACTCGCCATGAGCGGAAGAGCTGAGGCCCAGGCCCAGAGTTCAAGTGACGTGACAGACAAACAAAAACAAAAAACAACTCAGAATAAGACAATGGGTGGACAATGGAAAGGGAACAAAACATTGAGTTTGAAAGTATAGATCAGGACTAATTTTGCTGGCCATTCTATTAAAATCTGAACATTCTGTCTGCCAGATTATTTTGTGAGAGTAAAACTGAAAGCAACTACATGTTAATTCGCACATTCTAAGCTCTAAGTCTGGTCACAGATTTCGATCTGCTTCACATTCAGTGTCTTTGGGTAACTTTTTTTTAATCGTGGGGGCTTGAACTCAGGACCTAGGTGCTGTCCTTGACTTTTTTTTTTTTTTTTGCTAGTGTTCCCCTACTTGAGCCACAGCTCCACTTCCAGTTTTTAGGTGGTTAATTGGTGATAAGAGTCTCAGATTTTGCACCCTAGTCTGGCATCAAACTACAATCCTCAGATCTCTCCTGAGTAGGTAGGATTACAGGCATGAGCCACTAGTTCCAGACCTATTTGCTGTTTAGTAGTTGAAGTGCCATTCCTCCAGCAGTAATATACAATGCACTCAGCTGAATGTACAATTCACTCGTAGCTGTGGTGCTCCTGGTATCAGTAGCAGTTTTTGAAATTTTGTCTAACATTAGCTCCGGTGACTTGTTACTGAATGGCAAAGTAGAGGAGTTGTTTTGGGGCAAGGCCAATCCGGGTTGAACTACTGGCTGTCATCAAGTAGGGAAGTGACCATCAGTAAGTCACGGCTGACTTTGCCCTGGTAGAGAGTATAATTTCAAGCCTCATTGAGTTTGCAAGGCTGATGAGAGGTGTGGGCTAAGCAAGCTTGAGGCCCTGAGTCCAAACAGTGACAGCAACGGGACCAAGAGGCTGAGTGAAGGACGGGGGCCGGGTTTGTGGTTTTCTTTTTGGGGGGGGGTCCCCAGGTGCTTTTCGGTTGCAGGAGTCACGAAGGGTGCAAGTTTGGCTTGCTACACGGCTAGCTTTGGTAACTGGGCATGCTGAAAGATAGGTACTAGTGCCAACATGGGATGATTTCGCCTGGCACGCCCCACCTGCCACGCGCGAGCCTGCCAAGGCCTCCATCGCCGCTCCTGCCGCCGGCCCTGGATTCGATGTGAGGCACCGGCAGCCCTGGCTGGCAAGAATGCGCCAAGTTTCCTCCCTTCGCGAAGAGGCTCGAGGAGGCACTCTTGCTCCTCTTCTGGGAGACTCCGCAGTCCTTCCTCCGCTGCGGCTCTTTGCTGACAGTGCTGCCTGCGCCCAGCCCAGGGCGGACTGCAGTCCTCTGGCTCCCAGGGGGCGGGGCCGGAGCTCGGGCGCCTAGGCTGGGGCGAGCGGGACCGGGGGGCGCCTGGGACCACAGCTCCCGGCACGCCCCGCGGCGCCGGCGAAAGCGATTGGCTGGCAGCTCTCGCTACCGCCTTCACTGGCCAATGGGGTGGAGGAGAGCGGCCTGACTCGGGGGCCTGCGGGCCAATGACAATGCCGAGGAGGCGGGCGCTTCCTTACCGCTCACCTTGCGCTCAGAAAAGCCACCCTGGGAAGGTCGCGCCGGCCGGGCTGTCGCGGCGGCACCACCACTGGGCGGACAGGCGCGGCGGCGTCGGAGGGAGCGGCTCGGGAGGCCGGCGCCGGGGAGCCCGCGAGCCGGACTGCGGACCCCGCTGGGGGCGGGCCCGGGGGCGGAGCCGGGCCTCGTTGTGAGGCGGCTCGTAATCCATCATGGCGGCCGCGGGGGTCGGCGCCTGTCCCTGAGGGGAGCCGGAGCCGGTTCCCGGGCCCCGCGTCTGAGGAGCCCTCGGTCGTCCTCGGTCCGACCGGCGGGAGAGGCTGCGCCCCTCGCAGGCCCCGGGGATGTGACCGCGCGGCGGCGGCGGCGGCGGCGGCGGCGGCATCCGGGCCGGGGGAGGGGGGGTCTCGGCCGGAGACCCCGACTCCTAGAGGCCGAGGCGGCCGGGCCTCCTCCCCCCGCGGCCGCTCCCGCCCTCGGGGCTGCGGGCGGTCCCCAGCCCCTTACGGCTCCGCTCCGGTTCCGGGACGCTGGGGGGTGGCCTCAGTTTCCCCTGACCTGGGCCACCCCGTTTCCTGAGGCCAGAGGAACGTCGCCCCCCGAGTAAGCCGCCCGTGCCCGGCCCGGGCATGTCTCCTGCTCACCCCGGAGCCGCCCCTCGCTCTGGATCCTGGGCCCAGGTCAGGTCTGGGAACCCCCCATTCAAATTCAGATCCCCTCCCTGCTGTCAAGCGGCTTCCGCTGCTCCCCAGATTGCTCCCGGGAGCCGCTGATGCCCTGATTTCTTCCAATGTCGCCTACGGCCCCTTTGGTCTCAGCGCAGCCCCAGACTTCAATGCAAAGGAAAAGTCTGGATTGGTTTCACAGGCCTTTTAAAAAGCGGACCTGAAAGTTGCTGGCTGTGCATTCCGGCTCCGGTGAGCTGTCGCTGAAGTCTGAGGGACCCGTGTCCTTTTCCGGAGAGCAGGCTGGGGAAGGAGAGCGGCAGGAAACTTGTTGGGAAGGTGGAGAAACTGAGATAGGGTGTCGGTGACTTCCCCAGGAAAAGTTCTGGACAGCAGCCAAAGAAGACCCACATTTCCTTTCTGCCTGGGGATCGAAACGACTTTGGTGTTGTTGGTCCTCTTCTGCGTCCCCTCGGGACATTTCTGTTGGAAGGTTTTCTTCTTGAAACAGCCTGTAAAATAAACTTTTAAGAAAAAAAAATCAAGAAACTTTGGGGGTAGACTTGCAGCTACATTACTTCAAGATTGAGGAACTGCAAAAATAATTGGAACGTCTGTTTACACGTGTCGACTCAAAACTTGGCTTCTTTTTGTAATACAAGATTGACCTCATATACTGGTGAATGTGAAATTCTGCATAACTGTTTCCTCCCAAAGCCCACAGACCTTTCTGGAAGATCTTGAACCCTTTTCTGGAAAGGGGTGCCTATCATTGCTTTATGGGGCAGCAGCCTGGAAAAGTTCTTGGGGACCAGAGGAGGCCGAGTCTGCCTGCCCTGCACTTTATCAAGGGCGCAGGAAAGAAGGAATCATCGAGGCATGGGGGTCTACACTGCAATGTTTTTGTGGAACACGGTGAGTGCTTTTTTCAAGATTTCTGGTCCAGTGTTTCCTTTTGTGCATTTGGCCTAGGCCATCAAAGAACTTTCTGTAGCCAGCAGCATTTTATGTCTGTTGGTTCCAGTTCTGCTTACATTTCTCTGCTTACATTATCTTGTGGTTTCTGATGGGACTTAGCTTTCTATCAGAAAGGTATGAGTTAAAAACATTTTGTTGAAGTTCCTTGATTCTTGTCTGATCCCACTTACTCATTGTTGCCAATGACCTTGAACAGATCATTTTACTGTTCCAGGGCCTCATTTCATTTCCTGGGGGTTTCTCAGTTCTGTCACCTGCTCCTGCTAAAGGCACTGACTCTTCTGAAGTATCTGAATCCTTTACTATGGTTTTCTCTGCCCCCTTCCCTCTCTCCCTCCCCACTGTTTCTCTTCCTCCCCCCTTCCCTTCCCCCCCTCCTTCTCCTTCTCCTTGTCCCCTTCTCTCTTCCTTTCCCTCTCTCTCCCCTTACCCTCCCTTCTCTCTTCTCTTGTCTCCTTGTCTCCCTGTATACTGGGGCTTGAACCGAGGGCCTCGTGTGTTCTTAGCTTTTTCACTCAAGGCTAGCACTTTAACTGCACTTCCACTTCCTGATTTTTGCTGGTAATTGGAGTCTTTAGGTTTTGTCTTCCCAGGCTATCTTTAAACCTCAAGCCCCAGAGCTCAGCTCTCTGACTAGCTAGGATCACAGATGTGAGCTACTGGCACCTGGCTCCCCTTACTAGTTTCCTAAAGAGTACTTTTATTGTAATCTCAAAGTGACTTATGCTCTGCAAAAAAGTTCAGGACCAGCCAGGCGCCGGTGCTCATGCCTGACATCCTAGCTACTCGGGAGGCTGAGAGCTGAGGATCGAGGTTCAAAGCCAGCCTGAGCAGAAAAGTCCTGGTGAGATTCTTATCTCCATTGAAGCACCACAACACCGGAAGTGGTTCTGTGGCTCAAAGTGGTAGAGAGCTAGCTTTGAGCAAAAGAGCTCAGGGACAGCGCCCTGGCCCAGAGTTTGAAAGTCCCATCACCGTCAAAAAGAAAAAAAAAAAAAATCAGATACTAATATTCTTGACCTTTTTAATCTGAAGGAGAATTTGAAAATACTCATTTTGGAGCCATGTGGGAAAAGCAGCTAGGGGAAACAGCGTTTCTTGTTACCTGAGCATACACACCACCTTCTCCTTAATTTACTTTCCCTTCTACTGTAGAATGACATTTGAGGCAATAAAGGTTGTCTTTGACAATTTTATGGACACCATTGACATTTCAGTGTTGATAGTACATGCTAGTTTGTTGACTTCTAGTAATTCTGTGTGAAGTTAACGCTAAGGCTCAGATTAGACTGAAGTCTGTAGCAGAGGCCAGCCAGGAACCAGTTAATTAGGGTTCTGCTTGTACTGTTAGAGCCTGACATTTTTTAGGCTCTGAACCTAATATTAAAACATCAATTGAGCCCCCTCCCCTTGTAAGCAAATGTAGGTTGTCTGTGAGTGGCATGTACTTTGAAATTCACAAATACCTCCTAGCAGTGGGTAACTGCAATAAAAAAGGGCTCTGGGATGAACTTGTATTTGATAGTTCTTACATTCTTGTTTTGTTTTGTTTTGTGCTTATACTGGGGCATGAACTCAGGGCCTGGATGCTATCCCTTAGCTTGAGCCACAGCTTTACTTCCACATTTTTGGTGGTTAGAGACAAGAGTCTCAAGGACTCCCTCCCTGGACTGGCCTCTAACCTCCATCCTCATATCTCAACCTGCTGAGTAGCTAAGATGGTGTTGAGCCAGCAGTCCCTTGCTAATAGTTCTGTTTTAGCATCTATTATAGGTAGGCAAATGTGTCATTATACTGTGTTCTTATTGAATTAAGAAGTTAGGGAATCCAGGCTCTGTTAATTTTAATGTTGCAGAATCTAGGGTTCACTGGTGTGGTGGCTTCTGGCTCTACCAGCCTTTAAGCACTACCACTTGGGCTGGGAAGGTGGCTCAGTGGTAGAGCGCTTGCCTTGCATGCTTGAGGCCCTGGGTTCAATTCCTCAGCACCACATAAGCAAAAAAGAAAAAAGCTGGACGTGGCGCTGTGACTCAAGTGGTAGAGTGCTAGCCTTGAGCTGAAGAGCTGAGGGACAGCACCCAGGCCCAGAGTTCAGGCCCTACAACCGGACCCAAAAAGAAAAAAAAAGAACTACCACTTGTGAGGTTTTGATATAACATTAAAGAAGAATGTCTACAGCTATCCAGAAAGTTTGCTTTTGGGGAAAAGTTTTAGAAACAATAAAAATTTTTTATTTTTGTATGAATCAATTATACTTTAAATTTCAGTTTAAGATTCTAATTTGGTAATTATTGAGATTAACTTATATAAACTAAAGGTCTTTGATAATTTCAGATGTACAGAGGGCCAGAAATGAGGACATGTAAGAGTATGCACTGCAGGCCAGCAGTAAAAGAGATGTCTGTATGACAGAAGTGAAAAGGCCATTTGGAAACCAGTCTACATGCATGACCCCATTTTTGTAAATCAGAAATACCTTTATTTCTAGCATTGGGATTTGAACTCAGTGCCTCATGCTTGCTCAGTTGGCATTCTACCACTTGAGCCACACCCTCCAGCTTAACTTTCTGCTGGTTATTTTCGAGATAAGAGCTTCATGGGCTTTTCTGCCCAGGCTAGCTTTGAAATACTAACTTCTGGACCTCAACCTCCTGAGTAGCTAGGATTACAGGTATGAGACACTGGTGCCCCAATCTATAAGTGTGTGTGTGTGTGTGTGTGTGTGTGTGTGTGTGTGTGTGTGTGTGTGTGTGTGTGTGTGTGTGTGTGTGTGTAGCGAGATGATGGGAGGATTTTAGATTTCTTAGGGCACTGAGAGGTTTAAGTTTGAAGGAGAAAACTTTTTTTTTTTTTGGTTGGCCCTGGAGCTTGAACTCATGGCCTGCGCTGTTTCTGAGCTTTTTTGCTCAAGGCTAGCAGTCTACCACTTTGAGCCACAGCACCACTTCCAGTTTTCTAGTGGTTAATTGGAGATAAAAGTGTCCTGGTCTTTCCTGCAGGGGCTGGCTTTGAACCATGATCCTCAGATCTCAGCCTCCTGAATAGCTAGGACTATAGGTGTGAGTCACTGGCACCTGGCTTAAGCCTCTTTTTTTTTTTTTTTTTGGCCGTGGGGCTTGAACTCTGGGCCTGGGCGCTGTCCCTCAGCTCTTCAGCTCAAGGCGAGCGCTCTACCACTTGAGCTACAGCGCCACTTCCGGTTTTCTGGTGGTTTATTGGAGATAGGAGTCTCACGGTCTCTCCTGCCCTGGCTGGCTTTGAACCGCGATCCTCAGATCTCAGCCTCCTGAGTAGCTAGGATTACAGGCGTGAGCCACCAGCGCCCGGCTAATTTTAATTTTTTTAAGGGTTTCCTTTTTTCTTCAACATTAGCAGTATTGGGGTTAGAACTCAGGACCTCAACTTAAGGACTTTGCTGATCTGGTTAGTCTTGAACTCTGTGACCCTTTAGGTCTCAGCCTCCTGAGTAACTAAGGTAATAAACAGGTGGGAACCACTGACACCTGGTTAAAAAATATTTCTAGAGCACACATCATGAGCTATGCAATGTTTTAGTCACCAGCGATTTGTTAGTGAAAAAAACATACCCACACTCCTAGGACTTACTTTGTTTTAGTGGGAGAAACAGCATCATAGGCTGGATAAGGATATGTAGAACTGTGAGAGAGCTGTGAGTGCTGAGGAGGAAATGTTGGAGGCAGTAATTGTAGGGAGGTTGCTGGCAAAGGCGGCATTTGAAGAAGGGAGGGGAGGAACAGCTTTGGGGAAGTGTTGAGTAAATAAAGCACTAAAGGCAGGGGTGTCAGGTGGAAAAATCCCAGCAGAGCTTGCCTAGAATGTTGGGCCAGTGTAGCTGGACAGAGAGAGCAAAGGAGGGGTGTCAGGGTAAAATGGGACGGCAGGCAGAATGTCTCGAGAAGAGTGGGGTCTGCTGGCTATTTCAAGGTTTTGACTTTCACGCCTGTGGTTTGGGAAGCCTGGTCTGTGATCTGAGAGACGCTCTCCTGGCTGCTGTCTAGCTGAGGACAGAGGAGAAAGCAGAATTCTGGGTGGGGCTCGATTGCACTCAGTTGCACTGATCTAGATGAGAATGATGATGTGATGTGGGACCAGGGTGGTGGCAGGCAAATCGTCAGATTCTGTAATTATCTGAAGGCTGAGCTATCTGTACTTTGGATCTGCTTTTGGATTCTGTGTGAGGTATGAGAGATATCTAAGAGTAGCTTGCTCACGCCTGTAATCCTAGCTATTCAGGAGGCTGAGATCTGAGGATCACAGTTCAAAGCCAGCCTGGGCAGGAAAATCCGGTGAAATTTATCTCCAATAAACCATCAGAAAACTGGAAGTGGGGCTGTGGCTCAAGTGGTAGAGCTCTCGCCTTGAGCTGAAGAGCTGAGGGACAGCGCCCAGGCCCAGAGTTCAAGCCCCACGACCGACCAAAAAAAAAAAAAAGAGTATCTCCCAGATTTGTGGACTGAGTACTGGAGGAATGAACTTGCCTTTTATTGAAATTTTTTTTTCTAAATACAAGAGGAGTTGACTAGGGTGGGAGGAGAGATCAGGAACTGCTTTGGGGTGTGCTACATTTGAGACAGGTGTTAGGCAGCCAGGTGGACATGTTAGGCAGGCAGGTAGGACTACATGCTGGAATTGAGGGAAGCAGTGCAGGCTGCAGAGGAGAGCTGGTGTCCTCTGGTGAAAGATATTTAAGGCATGAGAATGGATATGCTTGCTAGGGACCAAGTGTCCGCGTGCGCATCTTGCAGTCATGGATGGGAGAGAACGTTGCGTAGTTCATGAATGTACACGTTCCTTCCATTTTCGTAGATTAGTTTGAATCTTGTGGAGAAGGTAATAGCTCAGTGTTTGCATGGAATGATTTTGATTCATCATTAAGCTTTCAATCCTGTATTTTTTGGGGGGGGGTCAGTCTTGGG